ACCGTGCGGCAGTAGTCTGCTCCGCTAGACTACCTTTCGCCTTTTCTCGATCGTTTCGAGACGAAAGTAAATTTGATCACAATTTAAAGAAAACTTACAATACGAAATTGAAATGCATTGAATTAAACTTGATCATTGATTGCTAGAAAGCTTGAAATTACAATTGATTGAAAGCAGGAAATTACAATGACTAGTGCAGGAAGCGAACACTAGAAAGTTTGAAAGATGTTTGAAAGACTAATACCCCCTATAATAAACTTAGCAACAAAAACTCAAATGACATCAATAGACGTCTTTTGGCCGATGAATCATGATAAAATTATTTAATTTCTAACTATTTTACAATTAAATGAAATATTTACAATGTGCAGCCTAAGTTGGGCAAGCTGCGGCTGCGATAGGGTCACGGGGCTTAAGTAAAGCTGCGGCCCGTAACACGGGGACCAGTTAGGGCAGGTGAGTTGTACCGCTTACAATGGGGACATATAATAGTGTTTTGAGTAGGGGAGAGATGGTGCAGAAGATATTGAGGGCGCGGCTTTTACTGTGGCAAAGGCAAAGAAATTGGAGGCCTCGTGCAGACAACGGGAATGCAAGATTGATGTACTACTGACATTGTAAAGATGACGACTAAGTTTTATACTTAGTCTAGTCGACATGCCATGATTGGTAAGCTATATTAGGCAAGTATAAAGATAGATTAATAATTTAACATTAAAATAGGTGTGTCCAAATATAGAAAAGGGTATTCTTTATTATACTTTAGTGTGATAGTACGTAATACATTTTGCTACCTTACAAAATTACTTGCTTTTCCAAGCCCAAATAATATGACTAATGAGCAGAAAAGATGACAGTAGAGCAAAACCAACCATAAACATGCCTCGTGTCCGTCCCCCTGTATCTATTCTCGATTATCATAAACTACTTTATTCCTAGATAACTTGGATGCACAAAGTGGTTTACAGAGCCATTAGATACCTGTGCTGCAAACTCGAACTCGTGAAAGATCATATTATCACTTTTAAGTCTCGAGACTTTTGAACTCGTGGAAATCCTCATAAGCTGAGGATCCACTTGAAGAATCACTTCCAAATAGCATGCTTTCCCTTGGAGAGTTGGGAAGTGACTCTTTTGACTGCAAAGTTAAACCTGATGTAGAAACAAAAATTAGTCTGACAGTCGCATCTTTCTGTTTGAAGTTGAGATGGTGCAGCTATTAGTTGATAGGCACTATGCAGAATTTAATATTCTTATCGGGATAAGCTATGAATTGTTTGAAAATAGGAAAAATAAAACATCAACCATACGCATGCTGTAAAAAATGAAAAGGGAAACTGAAAGGTAAAGAGCAATACTAACAACAAATGATGACTGGTAGAAAAGAGAGGAGCTCTACTAACCTTTCTGCCCTCTTGAGCGAAACTTTTTTGTGTGCCGTCTAATTAAACGTTTGGCTTTTGTTATGGTTAGTTGCCTAGCGAATGGTGAGAATTCTGCATCACTTTCACTCCAATCACCGGAAAGCTCATTTTCTGCTTCGCCCCTCATTGTCCGCAGGACAAAAGCCTTAGCCTTACGACGCTGAGAATTGAAAAGGCCTCTTACGGATGTCACAAAGCCATCACCTGCGCCATCATGCTTAGGCCAGGCTATTGGATTCTGATCAGATTTTGCTGATGGCCCAACATCACTATCACTGAGATTCAGATCAGTGTTGGGAAAATTAACACCACTGGAATGAGCTTTATCTTTAAACTTCTTTCCCTGTACACAAAACAAGTAGGCAATTCGAATGAAAGGGAAAGGACAGTATATATCACGATGCTAACTTCTTGATGAAAGTCTTGTATATGGCGAAAGGATAGCTTTTGTCTTGTCATCCATATGGGCATAACATTCATCCATTTACAACAATCTTTCTTGTACCAGCCTTGTGCGTGATGCACAAAGGTGGGCTCGTGTGAGAGAGAGAGAGCATGTTCCAATATATGGAAAAATATCCATTAGTTGGAACTCAAACATGTAATGTGAACAATAAAATATTTTTAGATAATTAGCATGCAAGATTACCTGCATTCCCGTGACTGATTTTAGGACTCCCCAAATTATGTGCTTTTTGACCCGCGAAAATAGCCTTCTCCAAGTTCCAGTGAATTCAACACGATGGAATGTATCCATCAGCAACCTCAAATCGACTACTGCAAATCTGGATCCTTCGTAGGTAACTAGCAGCTCAACCTGCTCCATTGTGACACCAAATTGCATCAATTCCAAGGCAAAATTAACATGACAAAGAATAAGGAATCATTCTTTCACAAAAGAAGCTACCTGACTAATCTTGATATTGTGAAATTCCCTCATTTTCCGAGGTCTAGATCTTTTCTCATCAGGAACCTTTCCCATTTTTTTCTCCTCATGAGAGGATCGACCAGGTTTGACAAGTTTAGATTCTCTTGATTTTTGTCTAATGGGTTCATCTTGTTGTTCAGGACAACCAAGGGGCCCACTTTTTGATGAAGAAACACTCGAAGAGTGAACTTGTAATACAAGTTCATTTGCTACAGATTCTGCCACATTTTCTTCCCATGTTCTATCAAAGGAAGATGTTCTTCTCAGCTCTGGGGTCGACCCACTAACATTATTCGTTTTAATGTTCTGCAGCTTTAATGCCTGCACAAAAATAATGTATTTCAAAAACAATCAGCAAATATAAGTTGTACCATCTGATCTAAAAACTCAAGTTGTTAAAGAAGAAGACTTTTGACTTCAACATGACCCTTCACATGCAAGACCAGGTTAACTTTTTTTTATCCAAGACCCAACACATGCACAATTTTCAGAAATGGAGGTGGCAATACTTGAACTCAGGACATTCGTCATACCATGTTGATTAACCTCGTCTAAAAGCATAAGCTATTAGATATGATAAATTTATTTATTTAAATTGTCTTCAAGAAAATAATTATTTCAAAATTATTTATCCGAAGATCTTCCCCGTGAACATTGAATATCAAAAGACTGATCCATATGAACAGTGATTTTTCACAAACACCAGTTTACCTTGACCAACAAGGAATCTACAATTTAAGTTATCACCTTCGAGAAACTCACATGGGAGGACTCAGCAGCAATAATGGACTGATTAGTTGCAGATGTAGCTGCTAAGGCAGAGGTGCTTGATTTGGAAATATCATCTTTGGTCGAGTGACTGCTAGTTACAGGTGCATCTTGAAGTATTGTCCCTTTCTTTACACGCCTTGAACCAGCAGTAGTTGAAACCTTCCATACTTCCTATAGGCCACACAAAAAAATACGTTTCAATTTTATATGATGATCTCATTGACACCTTAAAGCAGTGAATTTAAATAAACCTGCCGCCGTTGGGAGTCTTGTTCTTCTTCCGGGAAGAAATATTCCCACATCATTCTGTACATTGGCTCTGTCAAATATATCTTTAAAGGGTAGATCTCAACCTGCACAATGGGACAGCAATTGTTTCGAGAAAATTTGAATATAATTTCTCAGGAAAAATTGGACCCCTTAGGGCTTGGAACAAAAGGTGCTCAACTTCGATCAATTATGTAGTGCTTCTCATCTTCCAAACTTCAAACTGGTGAAATGGCAAAAATAATGTCCATATTCTCAAGCATATTACAAATTTATTTTGCAGCTTAAAAAATTTCAAATTTAACATGCACTATGCACCTATTCTCAAGCATATTACAAATTTATTTACAGCTTAAAAAAATAGAAATTTAACATGCAATACATGCACCTAACTGAATGACGAATCAATTTCAAGTAGATGCTAATAAAAGTTTTAAGGAAAAGTTATGCCGATTCTCTGCTCCATAGTTTATGACATGAAATGCTGATAAGTACAATTGCATTTTTTTTCATTTTCACTTTCTCGTGTTTCTTCTTTTAATTTGGTTTTCTTTTTGGTTGGACAACTAGTTGGCATAGGAGGCTACTTTATTGGATTAAGTTCCCTAGATGTTTTGCAGTTCCTAACAAAAACATTTGTGCTATCCTCTTAGATAATGGTCAGAGCAGGTGTATCTCAAATGTAAAACCCTCTAGGCCACAGGCTTAACTCCCTATCTCGACGATACAATCTTCTTTTGTAAACTAATCAAGCAGCATTTGGGCTTGGGTTTGCAGGACTTCCAACTATTTATAAGCCCAGTTTACTGACTGCAGATGTAATTCCAGTTATCCCTACACTGCCTTTAAAGACACTAATAACTACTTTGCATTTGCAGGTGTAAAAAAATAAAAAAATAGAGGAGAAAAATCTAATCTTGCTCACCTAAAGAGCATATGAAACAACACCAAGTTGAGCAGCACATAACAAATAACTCCAGGTCTATATGCACCAGTTTGTATACTGGAGCGACTATTTTCGTTTCTTTTCTTTTTATCTTTCAACCAATTTTTTGTTGGTGCGTGTGCCAGAGAGAGAATGAACTTTTAGGGATGAAGGATGAACATGTTTTGTGACGTAAACTGTAACCAGCTAAAGGTGCTTTGCATTCTTTGGAGTTGACAATAAAGACTACAAGATTAAAATATAGGATAATCTCGTACACTGGAAATTTTAAAAATCAAATGAAATGGTTGTACAAAGCTGGATTCAGAATTAATTTGCTGAAAATTAAAGAAGGATAAAAATTTGCACGAAGTACCTCAAGTGGGTATAGCAAATACTATAAACTCAGCCTACAATGCAAAATCTAATTCAGAGTCAAGAGACATGATTGTTGGCCATGTAGCGCAAAATGTAAAATCAATGCTCATAATTTCTAAAACAAAAGGATGAAGATATGATTACGGAAACACATTATTTTAAGCTTTGGTCACAGTGCCTTCCTCCAAAGTGTTTTATCTTTCAAATTTTCAGTTGTTCTTTTAGATCAAATGGGACGAGCTAATCTATAGTATTTCGGCCTCAAAACATTTAAAAACATATGGAGAGACAAAAAAGGATTGTAAGAAAAAACTTCTTCATTTCCATTTTTTTACTTGCAAAGTTACATTTTAAATCAACATGACCAGTGTCAATTGATCATATTACCTGCTTCCATATACACGCTTGAATAAAGAATCAAATATATCCACTGGAAAAACACAGAAAAATAAAAAAAATCTCACGTTCAGACACTTGAGTAAATTAGGAAATCTTATAATTACAATTTTAGAATTTTCAGAAGCATAATTAAGTAACAATAGAAAACATAGTTTAAGGTTCACCAAGCATAAGTATTGCATTGTAACACAAAACTCAAAATCAACAATTTGAACTCCAAAATTTTGAGAAAAAATAAATATAATATCCCAGAAACACATTTGTTTAACATATAGTCACAATGTTTTCCTCTGCAATGCTTATTAAACTATTTCAAATTTTCTGTTGTTCATCTAGAGACTAAGGTGACAACCTAAGATTTAGTAATTCAGCCTCATGGAGGAAATAAAAAAGAACAAAAGCAACTAATACTTCATTTCAAATTTTTTTCATTATAAATTTCTAATTATTTCAATATGATCAGTGAGTTGGTATTTGTATGTTTCCTCTCCGGTATTGCATACCACTTCAAGAAAAGAATAAAATTATCCATTGGGAAAACACAACTTCTATGGTACACATCGACCATAGATGATGGGAAATGCTCCCAACTCTCAACAAGGGACACATCAACCATGGTCAAATCAGAAAATATTGGCAATTTTTATGGTACAAAACAAGACCTCCCTCCCATGTTGATGGCTGGTTTGCTTCATAAAATACTAAACTCACATGCTATTCTGTAGTATGATCTACGACAGCCATTAAGAGATACAGAAAACTAAAGCTTTAAGTTAAAGAAATAATTTAGCATCACGGTGATTGAAGCAGGAGGACCCAACTCTCAGATATTTTAATGACAACTGAAATAGATTGCTGCATGCATGAAATTAAAAGCACTGCTGACCTGAAACAGTTCAAGAGGAGAATTACCATCCTTCGGAGCTCCCTGTTTTGCATCCACGCGAAGCATCACTTTCCTGTGTTCAATAAAGTAAACAAATAAGACAATGCTAGGAGGGTTTGCTGCATTGCATGATTTTGATTTCTAAGAGAGGAATAACAATTTTAATATTAAGTTCCTTTTCTTAGTGTGCCAAATGATTAATTTATGCCAAAACGTTGCTGCCGGGCACAAAAATTTAATGGAAGTTAGATATAATAATAATAATATAATTAAGTCTGGTTGGTAACCAAGCAGTGGGTATTTTTTGCTTAATTCTGCACTGAACATTGGTCAAGAGATGAATAAAACAATAGAAATTACATAAGTGTAACCTGAGGTATAGATGAAAAAATTGATAGAAATTGCATTTAATTGTAACCTGAAATTCTTCATTATGTTCTTTATCAGGTAATGGAGAGGGGAGTTTGTGAGAAGTTCTCATATTTGAGTAACAGCAGGTCAAAAATATAGTAATCTATTTCAAAAGATTGGAAGCACTTTCACTAACACGATAAGAAACAATAAGTTTTGAATAATCTAATATTTATTTTTGTAGGCAGATCTACACATACTTGACCAAAGACATTCTTATCATCACAAATACATGATATTAGTACTACAAAGGTAGGAGATAGATGTATGTACAAAAAAGACACCATTCATCAGCTAAGCCAAGAGAGGCTAATTATTAAGTAACTGCAGTGGCCATAAAAACTTGAGATGGAAGCTCCAAAAAAGTGGCTATGTTGTATGCTTTTTATGAGGCAGAGACCAATATGGTTGTTTTCAAATATAAGTTCATTAAGATGCACATTTAACTGCATTTATATTTCAGAGTTCAAGATAAGATACTTGGGTTTGTAAAATTAGGCTGTGTGGAATCCACCATTAACTTGCTAGCATACATTGGGCTGACTTTACATGGATCAATGGAACTCATTAACAAACTCAGAACCTTTCTCATCAAGTATGTCATATCCCAGACATAGAGAGCCATCACAAGCATATGAGAACAAACATATATGCCAATTTTAACGTGGAAAAAAAAATACAAGATTCCTTAAAAAATTGTCAATGTTAGTGGATTTGAAAGCAATGAGGAAAAAAGTTATCTCAAATTATTATTCCATTTGTTCACATTTACTAATTTATTTATTTTTTTTAGAAAGGCTTCATTTCTCATCTACATTAAAAAGTCATACAATGGACATCAATCTACCACAACCTCTAATTTTAAGAGCATGTTATAATGGATGAATGGTCATAAAAAGTAGAAATGAGTCCACATGTCAAGCTGTAGAGGTGGAACAAATTGAAGATAAATAAAGAAAGAATTATATGGTTAGGACAAGAAACATTCACAAGAGTTATGCAATCTCCAGTAAAACAATCAAAGAAGAGGAAAACTTTACCCAAATTTACAGTCCAATAATATGGTTGCAAAAGATTTAACTTAATCAGAACTTTTAGTAGATGTAGCGCTAGATTGGACACATCGACAAAAGATAAATAGAATAGTTGAATCAAAGTATATTGACAATAAGATTTAGCTGGTTTTCTTAATTGGTTAAGGGAGGACAAGGAATCATATATGTCTCACTCATGACAGACAAGGTTTCACCAATTCAATATCACCCCTTAGTCAAAGGATAAAGTATTTCTTACAACTTCGTCAAAGAAACCATCTAACTGATTCATCAATTTTGAGTGTTTGTGGGTGTAAGAGAGACCGATAGTGACAGGAGTAGACAAATATCAGGTATTCTGGATTCACATGGAACTTTTACCTCTTAGTACTATAAATGGTATGAGAATAATTAATTCCTAAACACTTTCATCTTTGTTGAACACAAAATTTAGATGAAGACGTGTGACCTTTTATAATATCTTAAGCTCTTAGATGAGTTGATTAACATTCTATGTGCTTGTTTTTATAAAATTATAAGCTCAATATAATTTCAAGTCAGAGTCAAATATTAATTTTAACCACAATTCACAACTACTTTCCACTAATTATCCACACATTTCTTGGGACCACTTATCATCTTCATTATAATCCCATTATAATTGTATCCAAACAAGCCAATAGTATTAGAGGCAGGTAGAATACCCAAGTTCAAGTCTTGCAGCCACCCATTCAATAAAAATTGTGCATGTGTTGAGCACTTATGGAAAAATATTGAACCCAGCCTACATGGGAGGGGACGTGGTTAACAATCTTCTATTTCATATAGGGCATTGATGAACTTCTGAAGTTAAAATATAAGATAATTGATCCTATAACGAGCACGAAAACCTTTTGGTCAAAAAGAAAATGTACCTGACAATTTAGTCTTTTGCATGGTTCCTTTAGTTTACTGGTTGATGATCAGTTTTTGTAGTTCTTCAAAAGTTTTAATAGTAAAAGGAATTTTAATATTCTTGTAGGTTTTCTATAATTGTGGTCCATGAATTTAAATTGTCATTTTATTTGGTGTCTTTAGTGATCTAGTATTGATTTAGAATTAATTACAACAAAGCTTCCTACTTTACAGAACTATTCCTTGTTCTTAGCTTCGCTGAGATCTCCTTACTTCAATAGAGTGGACAACTTTTGAGAATCGTATTGTGTGTATAAATTTGGCTAATGCCTTGCAAGGATAAAGAATCTTTTCTTCTTCTTTATCACTCCAAAAATCATCTTCATGAATTCAACACTTAACTCCTCCATCTATCATAAAATAAGCATATTAAAGGAACTATTCATCAGCATCCTGCTCGGCAAACAAAATGTGTTTTACTTCTCAGAGTTTGAAGCTTTAGACTTCAAACCTTTACCTATATTCAACTTACATAATCTTTCTGTTTTCTCAACCTTTCAGACCCTAAACAAGTACTAACAGCCACTAAAAGACTAATTTTCGACGATTAGGTTGATCCATAATTGAAAAGTGATCCCACAGACTTTCCCTACATTAGTTTGAAAGTGAAATTTCTAATGAAAGTAAAAATTCATGAAATTTGCTAACAATTAAAATGTCTGCAATAACACATTGTTCCACATTAATGAACTATATAAGAAGGGACACGAAGAACCGAAATTCACACAACTTAAAAGTTATTCATGTTGCACGCATACGATGTCAGCAACCCATACGTTTTTAACATTTATTTGCTGCAAAATAAGTATTTTATTTTCACGTGGTGTTGGAAATTACTTTGCTGCACATGATAGCAAATGATTCAACAGCTGAAACTCACAAAACTGATAACAAAATGTATAACAGGGCTGGGGTTTGGGTGGGGGTTCGTTTGTAGTGATTCATATTAGAAAAACAAAAATTTCTAAAAAGCAATAAAAAAATGGAAAGAAATAGTTCAATCCACTGTCATTTTAAGAATTGTGCCACGTTATCAGAAGCAACTGCTCTACAATGAAGCAGTTGGGAAGGAATCTGTTATTTGTGGGGTGACACTAAGGCAGCCTGTGTAACACTTCTTTTGCATGGTCAGGGTATAAAATGTAAATTCAATATTCTATACCAGCCATAAAAATATATGATGAAATGTTGGAGGCAGAAGAATCTCTAACACAGATGCATGATAACAAAGCAATAAGAAAAGCAGGTAAATAGCTGTACAAGATTAACAACATTGAACATTAATGAAGAAAAAATTCTTACTTTCCCCATTCAGACGGAGGATTCCATGCTGACAGAAGCATATCTGACTTAGCGCGGTCCAGGCAATTTCTCACAACAAAGTACTTGGTTGTGAACTTAGCAACACCAACATCCTTGTAATCCCTGTCAAAATCATATATCTGCAGCAATAAATTGCAAAATAAGCACTTCATAGAGACTTAGAGAACAAACGAATGAAGTAAATCATTTGTGTCATCATCAGTTACCACAAAAAATTAACAGTACCAAGTTTTTGGGCACAACTGTGAGTAAGATGGGTTCAATCTCTCCCAAAGCGTACCAGTACGCAAGTTAACAGTTTTGACATAAAGACCGATCGTTCTCTTACGTACTATCCACATTGGGAGAGCACCCGCCCTTATTCCCGACGAATTTCTATCGCGTCCTCCAAAATTCGAACTCAATACATCTGCCTTATGAGAGACTTAAGTTGAACCATGATATCAATTGAGGGTAAGAGGGCAAAGGCCCTCCCAAAGCGGACAATACGTATTATATAACGACTTGGGCATGAGGATCGGGTCGTTACAAAAAATGTGACTCAACCTCTATGTCTAAACCATTAACTTATGTACCGTCCATTTTAAAAGGGCATATGCCCTATTACCACCTCACAACTTTCCTTCGTGTCCCAAGTATTCGAACTCAAGACCTCTGCATATAAGAGATTTTAAGTATAACCCTGGTACCGATTTGGCAACTAACCTGTGTATATGAGAAATTTAAGTTGAATCTTGTGGTTGTCCAATTGGTACCAGGATTTAACTTAAATCCCTCATATGCAAAGGTTTTGAGTTCGAATTCTTCAGGACGTGACAAAAAGTCGCGAGGGATAAGAGGGCAGATGTCCTCCCAAAGTGGACAGAACATAAATTAACGGTTTGGGCATAGAGGTCGAGTCGTTACAGAGGGAATCAAAAGAATTTCACTGATAGATCAACATTAAACTTTAGCATAGAGCAAAACAAGTTCTGAGCAAGTTGAAAGGAGATAAAACAATAGATACAAAAAGAAATTTATTGAAACTAGATATTACATGCCATTTAACCAAGATGTTGCGAAAGCTCATGTATAATTTAATCTACATCAACTTATAACTTATATTTCCACAAGTAACCTTGCTACAATCATTCATTAGAGCTTAACGAAATGAAAAAATCAATCTCATAATATGTCACGAGACTCACCATGTCATTTATCTCAGCTTCAGCAAATGATTTTCCATCAACAAGCATGCCCCAGACTACCTTATTAATTTGCAGAGATATACGCATAGCATAAGGACTTTTATTTTTCTCTTTTTCCATTAGTCGTAGCTGTGCAGCTTTCTGCAGAGCCATCCTTAGAGAAGCAGATGCAGACTTTCTAGACTTTTGTGCAACAATGAACTCTTTCCTTAGTTTTTGTACCTGAGAAATGAACTCCGTCATGTAATTTATTCTATTACATTTAATAACTGAGAACGGGCAAGTACAAGCATACAGAAAAGCATTTGGTGCTTTTTGAATTCCAATCGAGGACACGTAGGCAATGCAAGTATTTAAGATTGAAAAATTTATTTAATGACAATTTCAAGAGAAAATGTTGCCACGTGAATTGTAAAAGAGTATAATGGGACATATCTATAAGAACAAAGGAGATATTCAAAATTGTTTGAATTATAACAGTATTGTCTCAATTTCTTTTTGGAACATTTGCAACATCATTAATAATCTCTAATATTATGATATTTGGATCTGCTAAGATTCCTACTTGTGAGATAGACAATCCTACAAATCTGATGTAATTCTTCTTTTTTTTTTTACCCAGAGTGAAATATAGACATGAAGATACAACACATATGCATGAAATGAAAATAACAACGAACCTACAGATAAGACACTAAATGCCAAGTTTTATGAAGATAATCAGCAAACAAGATACCAAAGATAATACATCGCGTAGAGAAGGGCTTCAGGTGCAAGTGGCATGGGAGAGCTTTTGATGGAACCAAGAACCCGTAGGGAATTAGGATACGGTTATTAAAGTTCTCTTATTCTTTGTCATTCTCATTCAGACATCCACATACACACAAATGAAGTTTTCTGATAAACAGGGGTCGGAGGTCATCTACAAGATTGTAATGTTTGTGGCTTCGATATAGGGTTGTATTGATTTAATTACAGACATGAACATAGCTCCGATTTCACATCCTGATAAGTTAACCCATAAAAAAGACAGCAAAATTCATAGTTATGAAGAAAGAAAAGACAGCACACCTCAAGGCTTGAAAAGAATGAATGATTGTTACACTAGCACAGACCGGTGATGAAAGATGCAAATTAGAAATCCAGATAGAGTTAAAATGAGAAAGTTTGAAAACATAAAAACATTTGGGCAAATGTTTTGAATTTACCATTGTGGACCTTCCGCCAGTTATCATCCATAGATCCATATCCTTATCTGAATATGCATCAACAGAAATATCACCATGAAGCGACAATTTACTTATGTCACCAAGGATCAACTTCTGTACCCTTTCTTTCTGTTCAAGATTAATTCTTGCCAGTTCTACCTCTTCAACCCCATCAGGAACCACTTCATCTGCCTCCTCTTCAACATCTTCATCATCTTCGGCTGAATATGACAGACTACTTTTTCGAGGCCTGAATGAAAAATTGAATCAGTTGAGACTGTGACGTATTCAATAAATGGAATTGTAGGCAATGTAATATCAGTCATATCTTGATAAACTGTTCACTCAAGAGAGTATGAATACCAATCTAGGAGAAATAATTATTTTTCCATGTTCTTGACAGTAGAATTGGGATGAACCATTTATGCATGACTCGGTTAAGTAAATTATAATTGGCTTCAATTATATGACAGTACTCAAAAATAATAAATAAGATCTGCAATAAAACTTGCTCATGAACTTTAATATTAAGCAACTGTTAAAATGTATAGTAAGGTGTACTCCCATTCCTTAAAAAGACCAAGTACTCTGATAGAAAGCAGTAAGGACTTTCATGTATAGTTAACTCGTACATCATGACATAATAAAATTATGCATCAAATCATCAGATGCTAATCACAAATTCATCAAACAAAAGATGCTATCATCCGTAGGTCTTTGAATCCAGCTGAAATTGTCATCAGGCAAAATTCTTCAATTGCTTGAAGTTTTCAAAACTTATGTTAGCTGCCCTGCTGTTACTTTTTAGGCTACCATAGTTTTTCCAAGTCTCCAATCTTGACGGAAAGAAATAACATTTAAGTCTCACTCAAGTAAAATACATCATTTTGAATAGCTTGATATTTGCCTTGCTGCTAGGTCCACTTCTTACTATAATGTAACTTGGCATTAAATAGCATCGAGTGATAACATGGGCGGCTCGTTTATTACGAAACCATGATAAGGACATAAATCAGTTTGTTATGGGGCAAGTCATTTCAACAAGTTAAGGAACATTTCTAACTGGATATGGCTGTAAACAATTCTACCCATTTCTCATCATTTCGCTGTCTGCTACGTTAAGCCAATAGTTTATAACTTCTGTATCAAAATATGGAAGAACATTTGGAATGTTGTAGAGTCTACAGGAGGTACAACTGCACTCTCTTCTATTATAACACTTTCATCTCACTTATTAGGTGCATAAACATTTGCTAAATCAAAGAATTTGATAGAGGAAACCCCAATCTTTGACACTGATAACCACTGCATCAATCAAATAGTAACTTAACATTATGGCTATCAAGGTGCTGCTATGAAAACCACATAAACATTACAAATTTTGCAAATAGCAATGCAGTTATTCGAAGTAGAAAATCAAATGCTGTAGTTATATTCTTACTTGGGGAGCCGAGCAAAGAGAAGATTGGTCAACACATCAAGCATGACTTGAAACTGTCTAGAAGTCATTGATGCTGTTATATTATGAGAATTGAAAGCAAGCTCTTTCAAGGGTTTCACCTGGAGCATAATGAATATATGATAAGCTATGATAATAAAGTAAGAGAAAAAGCCTTCACCATTCACATTAGGTACCAATTTAGTTGGTAGTTGGCAACTGTGACCTGTCAGAATGTTTATACATACCTTCAAATCAGAGGTTCCACCTTTGTGCCTTGTATAGCGGAAATACATGTCACAGGGCATAAACACCCGTTCCAGTAAAGCTCCAGTACGCTTCACTTTGGGTGAGCTCCGACGAATTTTTGGAAGCCACTGCAATCCAGCCCCAGGGTCAACATCAGTTGGAGCTACATGAGCCTGCACATGCTCCAACATCACAGTGAACTCCATGCGGTTCCATGTCATTTCAGGTTGAGATTCAGGAACTGGAATATTTCCTCCACCTAGTGCTTGTTCAATCATCTCATGGTCAACTTGAAGGACTGAATGGAATGAACGAGCTAAAACACGGCCACTAACAGCAGCAAGTAAAAATCTACCCTGTCAATAAAGGGCCTTACCACATTACTGCATGAATAAGCATCCTAAGATTAATTCCAGAATTATCTTTCTAAATAGCCTGTGGCTCTTCTAATTTGATTGATGATGTGAAAAAATATGTGTTCCTCCCCTAGTACAGGAAGATGCTAGAGCTTAAACCCTTGTCTTAAAGACCCTAAGCCAACTTATGAATTATTGATGGAAACCAAGACTATATATAACTTAACAACTTCCACATATCTGATGATAACCAAGCTATTACAAACTTATCCACTAATATAAGCAACTCTCTCTCTCTCTCACAAAGAACAGGCTTAAATATTTAATTGCACCACCACGAGGGTAGCTTTGATGCATCAGAACCAACCACTAGCCTAACAACTAGTTAAAGCTTTGGCCCAAAATGCTCAAGTTCAAGTTACCAATTATGTCACCATCTAAACGAAGTCCATGTACTATTCTAAAACTACAAAATTTCTGATGTCCGACAAGGTGTTCCATGTAGTGATGCTGAACATATTTACAAATGAAGAGGAAAAACGATAATTCTATGTCTAGTGGGATTAGGAACAAGTTTTAGCACTTTTTAAAATTAAATGTGTTTTAGTTTGTTAAGAAGCTGTTGTAATATTTTACTCAAGACTTCTTACGTTTCTAGAGTCGAAGGTAGTTTGGTTTTCTAATATATGCTAAAATAGTCCTTATCTAATTATTTAATGCAATCCTACTTTTTACCAGGATTTTTTAGTAGTCTTGCTTTAGTCTCAGATTTCATTAGTCAGGGGTTTCCAGTTTAAGGGTATTAGTCAATGTGCAGTAGAGAAAGTCTTTTAGAGGTTCATAAATATTTAAGAAATTTCTTTATTCTGTAGACTATAAAAACAAATATTTGGTAATGTATTGCATGAATTCGTCTAACCCTGAGTTGCTGAAGCTATCTAATTTTCTTTCTTTCTCTTACTTCATCTCCCCTGACTTTTAAGCACTGTTATTAGGTACTTTTCTTCAGAATCCAAAAGATCCTCAAAGACCTACTAAGACCACTTCTCTAATTCAGAAAAGCATCTCTCACCCGTGATCAAACTTATAGGTAATGCAATGCACATCAAACCAAAGAAATTCATCATCACAAGTTTTATTACAGTTTTATTAAAGCAGCCTACATCATATGTGTACTTTTTGGTCTGCCATGAAGTTTTAAATATATTAAGAGCATGTTTGATCTACATTAAGTTCAAAATACATTTTTCTCTTTTCTTTTTAACCACACATTTTTCAATAAAATAATATTATATGCAAACACAAAACTTTTCCACACATTCTCCATCAAATCACTATTACCAAATGCATTTTGGCAAAAGAATGGGTCTCGAACGGGGCCTAAGTTCTGATGCTTATAATTACTTACATTGGCTTCTTCTGAGTGAAGATTGAATTGCGGCTCAATAACATTCACCATGAAATGACGTGTTCCATCCTCCTCAGAGTCGTCATAGGTGCCAGGCTTTGCTGTATTAGGGACAAAGATTGCATATCAACTTAAAAAAGATGCTATTCAATTTTGCAAAGTTAAGGATCTCAACAAAGAATATGTAGCATAGCTAGCGAATATGTCAGTGCTGATCTGTATTACAAATTCTCAGCATGGAAGCCTAGATAATGCAAGAGAACAAACATTTTGGCTGGCAAAACCCAGTATGTGGAAGACAAGGTGGGATCTAGAAGTGGTGAACTGGCTCATAACCAAATGTCTAAAGTGGTTCTTTAATTGACATAGCTCTCTTTGTATTCACATCTGAATCATTTTAGTTAAGTGCCAAATTTCTGCTCTTAAATTTCACCTGCACATTAATGAAAGATACATAAAGTTCAGAACTTACCATTTGAACTAGATGAAGGGTTCTCATTTGAGACTTGATTTGATGATGAAGATTGAGATCTTGAAGGATCCATGTGTTGGTTATCATCTTTCACCATTTCAGGTGTACCAAGCACCTTGTTTTCCTCGAGCAACTTCCTCTGTGCATATTGCCGAGAAGGAGAAGGCTTTGGGGGTTCAAATGCCTTCGATAGCCCACCTACCCAGGACCAAACAGCATCTCTATTTTCAAGAGTCCATAGAAGCTTCAGACCATACACAAAAATTCGCTGACAATTGTCAGCAATAACTACATTATATCCATCATCATCACTAGGATCAGATCTTGTGTGCCCATCACTTTCACTTCCATTTTCAAACTCAGATCTGACATATGTCATCTCAAGATTTCTTCTACCAGATTCCTGCCAAGCTAATAACCTTGCAGGGTCAGCCTTTGGGGCTTGTCTTCGGATGGTAAAGTAATCAGATGATAATAAAAATCCATCATCAAGGTGCTTTTCAGTGTTGTTGCTTGTAGGGGTGTTTTTATCATTTGTTACCTTGTCCATTGATGAAGACTGGGAGTGTTTCCTAGTCATTTGAAGTACTTTTGAAACAGTTGGGCAATCAACCCTATTTAGAAATACTTTGGGCATGTGAAGGTCAAGACCCTGGTAGACAAGATCAAGAGGATCGCGAATGCTTTCAAATGTATATTTTTGCTTACCTCGACCATAATAAAGTTCATATTTCAGCTTTGTCATCTTAAACGTCAGTCCCTTAGATGGGTCGTCATCGTGTAAAGGCACATGCCGAATACATGTTGGCGTTCCATCAACCCGGAACATAAATTCTGTCATTACCTTGTCTAGGGACAGATTGCCTGATCTGGGAACCCTAGGGATTCCAAATCGGGGCCACCTGGAAAAAGACCTCAATTTATGAGGAGGAATGTAGTTCAAATACCAGAATTTAATAATCCATGCTAAATCATGATGACCAACATTCACGGTTGGTCCATCCATAGATGCATTTCCTGATTTCAATGGACTATAGGCAACTCCATCCACAGCAGTATGACTATTAATGGAAGAGGATTGTGACTGAATACAGCTAGAAATCAAATGGGGCCTAAGGGACAAATTCCATTGCAGGGAAAGAAAAGTGGATCTGAAGGGATCATAAACCTTTTCACGAGGAACCCCTTCATTGGGAAGTGCAAATAAATAATGATTTAGAGGATTGCCAGACTGACAATCCCATTCCATTGTAACTTCAACAGTGAACATTGGGGCCTCAAGGAAAGCTCCAGAAAAGCCAGTAGAATGTTTCGAGCTGCAATTATTCATTAAGCTCTCTAAACTGCTCAGTAAAATCTTAAAATCTTTAGCAGAAACATAAACACGACCGTCTGATTGCTGAATTTCCATATCACCCGAAACAATACAAAGTTTATCAGAGTTTTCATATGGATCCGTGGTAGCAAGAACATTCCATCTGGTCTCAGAAAAATATAAAGTGGTGTTCCCGTGAATATAGTTTCTCATTTCATCCCACCACGGTAAGCTCTTTTCCTTTTTAGGTGGCTGAACATCAGGATTTGGATTCCTAATGCTCAAATTGGCCCTACGAAGAGCAACAGTAAAAGCATAACTAAGGTCAGCGAACGATGGTTCAAAACCAACGCCAAAGGAAACTTCTCCTCTTTGAAAATGTATGGGCAAATCACAATATGTTTTTACTGGAGGAGTTGTGCCACTAGCTGACCGAAGCATGCAAACTTTCCTCCAATTCCCAATGAAGACATTTTGATGAATTTGAGGCTGAAAACAAGTTGCCTGCAAATAGAAGAAAGAAAAAGGGAAAAGAAGTCTCAAATAAGATCATAATCATGACTAAGAAAGAAACTTGAAAATAAATCAAGAGAGTGCAAAAGTAAAGACAGCATATCCTAAGCTATAAGATTAACTATTCAAGCTTTTTGTCTAAATCGACAGGTTCTTGCACTGCTCCATAATGTAATCATTTGTTTCTTTTCAGATATAAAATCTGAACGTAGCATAGGCATGTTAATTCAGGCATAACTATCATGCTTACAAAGAAGTAATGCCTTTTCTCCTTCTGTTGAGAATATAATTATGTTATGGCGTCATAGCATAGGTTAGGACGTCCTAGTTTTCCAAATTTAAAGAACTTATTTCCTTTGTTACCCAAAAATAAAAATTTATCCCTGTTTCAATGTGAAATTCGTCGATTTGCCAAGCACTATCGTACTTTTTACCTTCAAACTCGTGTATGCCATCTAAGTCATTCTTACTTTTTCATAGCAATATTTGGAGACTCTCGTGTAACTACTCTTTCCAGAGAAAAATGGTCATTGATGATTCATCGTATTTGTTGGGTTAATTAAAAGAAAAATATTAAGTTGGAAAAACGTTTAAAGACTTCAAGGCAATGATAAAAACGCAGTTCCAAGCCAAGTTTAAATTCTTGGAATATTAGTGGAAGAAAATACTTTAATTCAAATCTTGGAAATTATCTGGTTGAGATTAACATTATCCACAAATCTTTATGTGTAAATTCTCCTCAATAAAACGGGATTAGGTATTACAGAGAGGAAAATAAATACATATTAGAAGCTGCACAATCTCTTATATTTACAAAAGGGTACCTATAACATTTTTTTGGGTCTCACTATTACATACTTGATCAATAGGATGCCTACTAGCGTACTAAATTTCAAACTTCATTCAGCACAATTTTGAAATGTTACCCTCTAACCAAAACATTTACTTCAATGCCTCCTAAATTGGTTGGTTGTATTGCATTTGTCCATGTCCATCAAACTAACAAGAATTAACTTTCTTAGTCTAAAATGTGTTTTTCTCTATTATTCTCCCCCCCAAAAGGCTGCAAATGTAATTGTCCACATTTCCAAAAATTCTATGTTATCATGGATGCCAACTTCTTTAATTCAAGCCCTTCTTTCCTAAAAATTCTTTTCGAGGGATAGTTGTGACCCAGAAAAAGATAAGAGACTACAGCATGCTAAAAGCACTAATAAAAAGCCCAAACAAGAGAAAGACTTGATCACAAACCTCGACTGCTGGGAAGTTTATGCTTTGGGATGTAGCAAATGGCACTCGAGGCATAACTTTCTAGGTGCTTAATGAAGGCCTCATGTCAGGCTCAAAAAACGGTTTTAGAAAGTTAGGGCATGCTTGCTTCGCTTGCTCTCTTCTCTACAGTGCATAAAAAATTCGCTTGAGGTTCACGCCTCAGCTTGAGGCGGTAGGAAAATGCCTCAAGGCACACTTTGAAAAATCTTTTTCATGGCGTAAGCCACGTGACTGAGGCTTATGCCTCATAGCACACACCTCAGAAACCTTGAGGCATGTGCTCCTTAATTGGTTTCAATTTTTTTATTATAATGGGTCCACGGGGTTTTAGAAGTTACTTNGCCAAATTATCCCTAATCCTATTAATAAAAGGAAATTAAAATAAGGAAACTAAATTCTAAAAGGAAATAAACTAATCCTAATCTAAATAAAATTTAAGAATAAACCTATTACAATTAGAAAAAGAAATTAGAAAAGATAATTTAAAAAAGACAAACTCCTAGATAAAGTGGAACTATTAATTGTAGTTGTGATGTACTAAATCATTTACTTTTATTTTTTATGTTTCTATTGTATGACGTTCTGGATTTATTCTCATCTCTTTTTTTTCCGGTTCACTGTTGTGTTGCATAACTGTAGCCTTCTGGATTCTGAAAAAGAAATAATTATTTTTCTTAATTCATGGTTTTTAATATGTACTTTTAATTTTATGTTTTTTCCTTTTAAGCTTATTTTTGTGTTTTTCTAATTTTTTACCTTTTCTTTTGGTTCATGGTGAGGATACCCAATTTAGCCTTTTTTTTTACATTGCTTCTCTATTATCCAATTCTTTTTTTTCTAGATTTTAGGGTTGCATTGTTTAAAATTACCCAGAAAGTATATAAAACATTCTAGGCCAAAAAGGCAACAATAAAGCTAAGGGAAGTAGTAAAAAGCCTAGAGATAGCAAGATAACTGAACACACACCTCAGTCGTCCCAAGTCTGGTGTCTACAGGCATGAGCCTAGTAAGTCAGGACGCAAGTCTTGACAAATAGCACTCAAGGTGTAAAAAAGGCAACTAATGAAGGCCTCAAGAGTGGAGCGGGGAGTTCAGGTAGCAATATATTAGGTACTATCAATTAGATAAGCATGTATCATTAGCATGAAAGTACATACAAGAAGGAGAGAGTAAAGAAAGAAATATACATACCTGCTGAGCCAACACAAGACGGCCTTCGCAACGACCTGAAGTTGCAGCAAATAAAGGACATGTGTAGTTTCTTATCCGAGCGACAAGGGAACCAGTATGCAAAATAATGTTTCCGCCATAAAGTTTTGAAAATGGAATGCTATGTGCACGACATACGGGATCAAGCTTCTGCAACACTTCAATCATCCCAGCATCACCCCCTTCGATTTTCGACAAGCTAAAATCTACCTCAGTAGCAGAAATGGTAAAAAGAGAAGATCTTTCCTTACTAGGTTTGAAACCAGATTGGAAACCATCTTTACAGGCTCCTGAATTTTGTGATGGCACAAGGTTCTGACATGCTCGGAAATATGACCGGAATGACTGTTCATATATCTCGTCTCGCAATTTTTTAATAGCTGCATCATCTTGTAAATCAATCTCCTCGCCCTTATAATGAAATTTCCCTTCATGAATAGAATTGTGTCGTTCAGAGGCTCCCTGACGCTGACCACCCTTGGAAATAAGTTCATCTAGAAAATTTAACCTAACTGCTAATTCACGAGCCTCATTTTTCAAAAGCTGATAATGTTCATCAAGCCAACCCTGTATTGGCTCTTCCTCAATGTCAGCAGTTAGTTTACGTATGCAAAATTTTAAACATCCAGTTCTTGTTGAACTAGCCTTCTTGGGTTTTGCACTCTCTTTTTTAGATGGAAATATTAGTTGACTTTTAGCAGCAGTAATAAGCTTCAAAGCTCGCAGCATTTCCTCCACGGAATCATCAATTGCACGCAACTGCAACCTAAATGGCATGCATATATGTACATCAAGGGCTTGAATTACCCAGTCCCATGTAGTTAGTGTCTCAGATTTTGAATCTGAAGCACTCCCTGAGGCATTGGGGATTCGAGATATTTGCATCCTGCTGCTTCTGAAAACTCTAGCTTCATTCAAATTGAGCACCAGTCCTTCAAGAAGCACACCTATTCGAGCATTCTCAGAAAAGATGGATTGAACCTGGATCAAGGTTTCAACTCCATCTCCAACCTCAGCTGATATACGGAGCATTTCCACATCAACAGCAAAAATTGATTCTCTTTTCTTCTTTTGTTTGTCAAGCTGCATTGATTCCAAAGATGTATCTTTCTTTGGGTCATTATTTTTCACAGTTGAATTTTTTTCCCTATCATCTTGTTCCTGGAGCTTCTGATTGTGTAACAGTAACTTCAAGTGTAACCCAAGTTCAAATAATGCAATATGCGCATCAGGTTCCCACCTGACAGATATATCTGTCGCACTGAAGAGAGAGCAGACAGCAATTTCCTTCAGACCACCTGAACGCCTTACAAACTTTGAGTTCTGCATGTCAAGCAGGACAACTTTTGTTCCAGGATTGCTCTCTTCTGGAAATTCCTGATAGATAGATCTAGCTCTTTCAAGCTCCATCTGTGTTGAGTGTTTCTCCTTGTTCATGCAAAGACTGAGGTGGAAAATGTCAAGTGATACAGAGTACTTTAACTTTTTGAATTCATCAGAGATTGTAGACATTATACTTGCAGTGCGAGGTGTCCCGTCTGCTGACGTGCTAATTAAAACACGGCCACCTTGAGATCCATAATTAACACGTTTGGGGTCTGGAACAACTGTATTCTCCAAGCCCACGTCTGCACAAATATTTACTGAGCATCTTTCAAGATTCAGTTTCAATAGTTGCATCCCTTTCCCCGGTGACCTGGATGATCTCACTCCGGTGCTATGCGTTGGTTTTTTGCTTGAAACAGATAATTTTTTCAGCAAGGCCTTAATGGAAAGAGCAGTCAATATCAGTGACTCAAGACGCTTGAAGGTCAAGTAGACCCCCATGCCAGTAACATCTATGGTAAGAACTGTTTTACGCTTGGAACCATCTTCAAGTAAATCCATATCTTTTTCGCCCAAGTCCAAGCTGATCTTAGCAATGTGCATTAAAGAACCAATATTTGTTTCCACACCAAAGAGGCTTTCTTTCAAGCATTCTTGATATTCATCAGACGTGTGTAAATTTAGTTCACCAAGTTCCATATGTATGGTGGCCCGGGAACTAGATATGTTGTTAGCAAAGACATGTGATGATTGCGAGCAACCCTGCATTTTGGAATTGATAATTAGGGTTCCATCACAATTTAAAATCAAAGATGAAATTAAGCATAAACAATGATACATAGGGGTTATGAAACAGATAAACAGCAGCCTATTAATATCATTTATATGCATCATTAAGAATTTATTGATATTTTTCCTCTTTTGCTTATTTTCCAGATAATAGCAACTTTCTTGGTTGAGCACATCTTTGCAAATAAAAATTGAAAGTTTCTAAGAACAGACACTCTCCCTTCTTCTTTAATAAGAATATCATCACAATTCAGAAGGGAAAAGAAAAAGAAAGAAACAAAGAATGACATAAACCTTCTAAACTCATAACTACATCTTCAAGACTTACAGGGCTACTCACCAAAGATCTGAACTATAGAGAACTCCGGTTCTACATATTTGCATAAATCCAATGTCCTACAAATTATTCTTCATTATTATGTATCTTATTGCAAAAAGTTTGTAAATTTGTTTGTGTAACTAGATGACGACAAAAGGGTCTTCCATTGTAATTTCATTACATTTATCACATGTACTGAAAGTGCAGAATTAAAAAGTACAGACTTTAAAAGAAGAGAGCATTCAACAGAGATTGAAAAGATGCAAGTAGCTGTCCTTGGGGGACAAACTATTGGAGTGTCCACCACTCATTAAGAATAATATAAAATGTATAATAACACAAATGCTGCAACGGTCTTGTCTTTCTCAATTTGAGGAAATTATATAGTTTAACAGTTAGATTTGATGATGCCGATATGCAAGTTCATGAGTTAGCTGCACTGGCACCCACTAAAGATGAATTGTATGAAAGAAAATGAACGGTGTGGTTTGGGAACATTCAACCTATGGCAGCAAGCTATTGCTAAAAATTACATAATTTTATTGTGCCAATAAATCTACTTCAAACACCAACTGTGTCATTTTAAATTCGCTCAACATATCCCACCTATACAAAGAAAATTCAAAACAAGAATGGTTTATTCCAGGTGCCAAAAGAAGTGAAATATGTAAATTGATACCACCACCACTAGGAACGTGGAAAGTGTGAATCAACAAAATCAATGTGTCAAGTATACCAGATCCGGTATTGTAGTAAGATTGGTCATCACATACTGTATTGGTCAAATCTAGCAATTATCAGTGACATGTGACAAAAAATATATTAGAGTTCAGAGCTCTCCAGAGCAACCTGATTCCACAGTAGTTTAATAGATGCAACATATAAAATAAAATTAGAAGTTTCCAAAGTAAAGTAGTCCTCTGAAAAATGAAAATGAACAGAAGAGGTTCAAGGACCCAGGATTCTGTACTCAAGAATATAATGGAGGATGAGAAAATGGTTAGAAGTGACACAAAGCAAAGTAAATCGAACTGAGATAGTCTCTTACGTGGTATAGTGGAATTCCATTCATATTATAAAGCACAACAGTCATCTCCGGGGCTGAAACGGTGCATGTCCACAAGATTGGTTTATGTTCAGATGACCGTGGCTTTTCTTCAGCATGACTTTCTACTGAAATCTCCTTTTTTTTCTTTTTTGGAAGAACGTGCATCCATGGCTCTAGTCTATTTAAAACCAAGTTGCACTGAGTACCTCCGAGCTTAACATCAATTTCAGATCTGACAGGGGACGCTGGCTGTAAATTAAAGCATCCTAAATAAGTAAATGAAATGACAAAAAAAGAAAACAAGATAAAAGACTTAATCAGAGATTAATGTAACATGTTAACATCAAACTGATTTCTTGAACCAACAAAAAAAGAAAGGGAACCCAGTACATGTGCCTCCATCCAAGTATGATCCATTAATCATATGGAACAAATCTCTAATATTAAAAAATTCAACAGTTCTCCACAAACCTTACACACCATAAAGACAAATTTAAGCACCAAGAAAAAAAGTTCATGAAAATGAATGGTTTGGAAATGGCCACTTTCTGACTAAGATGCCCCAGAAACTTGAGCAGGGTTTGCTAGCTTCAGTTCATTCTTCACTTCCATAAGGATGACAACCCTCTTCTTTTTGTTTCTTCTTCTTGGGATTTATTTGGCAGGTTCGGTTGGTTAGGAGGGTAGCAGGTCAGAGCCAGGGAAGCTTAATCTCCATTGAAAATAGATTTAGTTAATGTGGTGCCAGTTACATTGTCAAAGAAAGATGAACTTCAATATATTTGGAAGCTTCAAAAAAGTCCAAAACAAAATGACCACAACAGATAAAAAAGCTAAAAGGATATGTTTCTTGGTCTTGCAGACCTCTGTATACAACAACAAAGTAGGTATTTCCACAATAAATTGGAGGTCTCTACATGAAACTTTGTATGCCATACCTTTCGTACACGTCATTACATCTATTGGAAGGTCCAATGAAACTAGATCCTTCATAACTACAAAAGGTCATGTTAATTTTGATCTACCTCATACCCTGTTCAAGGATGCATCACTCGCGTGAGTGAAATCATCTTTTGGTCTACCCAACCACCTCCTTCATCCTTCCCATAATTTATTCTCCATTGTTGCCCGCTGGGCTTGTTGATACAGTCTCATTTCTTACCTTATCAAGTCTAGTATAGCCTTATTAGACTTCTGTATATTGAGCAGAAATCACAGACTGGAGACTTGAACGACAATGGAGATTATGGCAGATGGAAAACAGTGTCAAAAGATGCCATAGAAAGAGGTAGAGTTATGATTTAGAAAGATGAAAACACATGATCAGGAAAGACCAAGTAGTGCAAGCCCTAATTTTCAGCCTCTACCACCATATGAGATAGAAATAGAATCAGCAAGCTCAGTTCATGCTTTAAATCTCACCATTCCTCATCTCCAAAAACAGATGAGAATAAAAGTTCAAATTCACCCCTTGCTTTCCCTCAAAGAAACTCTGCTCATTCTTGTGGAGTTAATCAAGGATTAGTAGGCAAACTATCAAAATATAGAGATATGTTGTTTTGCAAAAGATAATGCCATTAAATGTAATTAGCGAAGATTGTACCTGTAGTGGTATGTAAACCGAGGAAACAACATCAAGTTTCTGTATTTCCACAATAGAAATGCCAGCTTCTCTAAGCAACTGAATATGATAGATTACGTCAGTAGAAGGGGAGAAAATTATAAACCTGGTCAACAATTGGAGCTTGAAATTTGTGGACTTACATGAATCTGACTAAATTCCATCTGAATATCAAGCCTTGTACTTTCTCCCACATCTTCAACAGATCGAGATTTTATGCTTTTTACTTGAATACCCATAATGTTATTATCAACCACAAGACCCTGATGCACCAACTTCACATCCAGTTTAGGCAAAGTGAAGTCAACCTATCAAATAAGCAATGGGAAATGCATCACTTAACTCTCTAAAGGACAGCTAGAGAATGTCTACATTTAATAAAAACAACAGTATTATCACTTCAACCAAAAAGCAGGAAGAACAAGGTATTCATATCACTTCAACCAAAAAGCAGGAAGAACAAGGCATACATATCACTCAAACTAAATGCAGCAAGAACATTGTAAACAATCAATCTATAATATATTAAATATCACATCAAGTGAGAATCATTTTTTGAACGATTATAGCCTTAATCACAATTTAATTATTTCAATAATATCTTACTTTTCATTTTTCAATATGTATTTAATTTACAAACTGTAATAAATACTATAATTAATTCTCAATTAATTAACATTTACATTCATTTAATTAATATTAATTAGAATTTCACATTTAAAGATGCAATTCATCATTCACATCCATGTATACTAATTAACATCAAATTTCACTTAATTGAAAATTAAATTATATTCATTTAATATAAATAATTTAAAATTCATTGTCACGAATATATTCATCGGTATTAATTCTAAATTAATTAACATTCACGTTAATTTATGTATTATATTTGTCATTCATCTTCATTTATGCATTTAGTTGTAATTCTAATACTCACGTTCAAGTATACATTTCACCATTTACGTGCATGTATAATAATTAACATTTATTTTCAGAAACTTACATTTCTCTCATATTTAGATCAAAAGAGTAAATCAGGGGTTAAATATTACTTTCACAGCACTATAAAGCATTTCAGAATAACGTGCAACACACGTTTAACTTTGATTAGTTTTACTAAAGGACTAGATCTAAAAGCCTAAGCTCTTAAATAAGACATGTATACAATTTAAATCTTATCTTTAACATGCCTCCTTCAATGGAGATAGAGTTCATCTTTTCCCCCATCAAAACCTGACACATGCACAATTTCATTTATGAATGGCAGCGAGACCTTAACTCGAGATTATTGTCTACCACTTGCTTTAAAAGCTTAGGCTCTTAGGGAGGACCACATGTGTATCATTCAAATATCATCTTCAACACATTTTTATATGTCATCCAGAAAAAACCCTTGAGCCAGTCTGAAAATGCAAAGAGGTGCATGAAAGGAACTTTCTACTGTAGCCTTCTAAAATACTTTCGGAATTCATTAGCTGAAATCTAATTGCTTGGAAACCATGTAACTGAAATTTACAAACATATTACAAATACACACGGAGTAATAAATCTAAATATTCTTTTATCAGTCCACCTCACCCATTTCTCTCATCAGCAATTTCAGTTTTTTTATTGTAGAGGACAAAAATTTATTAATCATAAGCAATAAATTACAATCAATAAGAGAACAATGAGTCCTCTTTAGACATAATCTAAAACATAATAAAAAATTTAACACATTTTTCCAGCCAAGAAAAATTACAGATTCAGGAAAGTCCTTAAACTCCACAGATATTAAAGCCCGTGAATAAGCCAAAACTCAGCTCTACCACGTCACTAAACACGCGTTCTTTTCACTCAAATACTTTGGAACTCCACCTGTCCAACTCACTCACAAATAGTCAAAACCATGTCTTTCCACATAACTTCTCCTGACCTTCCTGAATCAAAACCACTAGATTTTTCAATGAATTAACTCCTTCACCTTTCAAGAAAAACTCATTTGAAACCAACTTTTCTTAGCAACTGCACCATAGAAGTGAAAGCAGCATCAAGACCTAAGCACAAATAATCAATACGTTCGAATTCCTCATATATATCACATACCAAGAGAGTGAGAGAGAGAGAGAGATAAACGAGAACATTTTCTCTGCACTAAAGCTCAAGTATTAATCACCCTATAAGAAATCAGCCAAGCAAATACCTTATAATCAGGCAACGGAGACAATTTCCTATAAAAGTGAGAGATTCAAATATAGGGAAATTTGGCAACTACTCCAGAAGATCAAGCTCCAATAACTTCAATTATAACGATATGAGTTAAAAGAAAAATTTTCAATAATGGTTAACAGAGAGGACAAATATAAAACCCCAGTATCCCTTAGATTAAAAACGAAATTAAACATTTCAATTGATGGAGTTATTTCCTGAAATTAAACAAACAGAATTGATGGGACCATTTTCATCAATGAGACTTTACACGGTCTAAGAAAAGCTGAGGCAAAAGAAGCATAATCCATCCATTCGTCATCCCGAGCTGATTTTATTTCCGCACCTGCCATTCCTTTCTCGCTCTCCGAGAAGAGAGGAGTCAAAGCCCACCAACCTTGGTTTAATTCAGGCAGGCCATTTGAGGCTATCAGCCATGCTTACTTCTAATGTCGAATCAGGCTCCCCACATCCTATTTGGTGAACTTTACCAAAGAAGAAAAACCTTCCAAGATTAACTCCCAGGGATTCCTAAAGGAGCCTTTGCAGTCCTTTAGAATCCCAGCGTTTGGGTCCAACCTTTATTTGCTCTTCACGACCCTCACCCATAAAGAGAACTACTAAAAAGGAAATCTGCAAAGCCACTATCCTGTTAAAGTCAAATTTTATTTTGAGGTTACCTACACCTAAACCCCCTATAGTTTAGTTCCAATGTCCAAGGTTCGAGCTACCAAATTATTTGTTTTACCCTCTGTACAACTTTCCCACAAAAATACTCATCGTGTACTCTAAGAAACAGCCACCTTCCCAGACATCCTAAGGATTAATTTATAATATATAGGGACAAAACTTGCTGACTGCGAGGGTGAGTAAGAGACATCATGTACTGCACCCCAACCAAAATTCCTACAGCCACCCACAGAAGTTCTCTAAGCAACTGAATATCGACAATTTGAATAAAAAGTGAGAAAAATATTGAAAATTAACCTGCTAATAAATCGCAAAGACAAGCTCGGGTGGTGATGTCAGAAGATTTATACATGCTATAAGAGGAATGACAATAGGTTTGGGAGAAGAGTGACGCCCTAGCCTTAGGAGAGAGAGGAGATGCACTGGCTTTGGGAGATCAAAGATTTTACAATGTAATACTGAAGGCGTTTCTAAAATTGAAAAACGTTTTTAACTATTCCAAAGGCATAAAAGACCCATCAATTACCATTTAAAAAATGCTGGATGTGTTCTATTTGAACACTGCCCCACATTAAACACCTAATGTGTAGCACAACCTCAAGAAACATTGTCATGCTGCACAATAAAACACCCAAAAACTGTTCATCTTCCTTAAAGAATTCAAAGCACTATTCTATTTTCTCTACACAAAAAAAAAAAAAAATTGGATAGGTAATCTCAATATTTTATTAATCAACGAAGAATACACGGGAAGTGTATAGTCAAAATAAACACGAAATGAATGACATGAAGTTAGGCAGCCCCTCAATAG